GAGCAGGCGCGAAGGCGGAGGCCCTCGCCCGCGGCCCAGCCTTGTCCCTCCTGCCCCCAGAGCCGGACAACGAGGCCCACATGCGCAGCGCCTCTCGCCCCTGCAGCCCCGTCCACCACCACCACGAGGGCCACGCCAAGCTGGCCAGCAGCCCTCCTCGTGCCAGCCCCGGGAGGATGGGGCCGTCGTACGTGCTCAAGAAAGGTTAGGGGAGGGGTGGGGGGCACACGCAGCCTGGGGCTGAGCACAGGGTCCCCGCGGGCACTGCCACCCGGTGCTTCGCGAGGCGGGGGAGGGCGACGCGGTCACGTGACACGTGTGGCTGTGACCGTGCCCAGTGCCCGCGTAGCTGTGGCGCTGGGCCCAGCCCGTGCTGTGCCCTCAGCCCAGGTGCCGAGTGCCGGCAGCCGGAGGCGGAAGCAGCAGCACTACCGCAGCGTCATCTCCGACATCTTCGACGGCTCCATCCTCAGCCTCGTGCAGTGCCTCACCTGTGACCGGGTCAGTTCCCAGGAGGGGAGGGGCGCGTCCTCGCCTGGTGCCTGGCCTTCCGCCGGGGGGAGGACCCTGGGTCCGGGGCTCCCGTGTCCCAGGGTGGGGGGCGAGGCCCTCTGCCCTGCCCTGCCCTCCAGCAGCTGGGGCTTGGGGCACAGACATGGCACTGTCTGGGATTGGAGGCCCAGGCGACCGTCACCTCCACAGGTGTCCTCCACAGTGGAGACTTTCCAGGACCTGTCACTGCCCATTCCTGGCAAGGAGGACCTGGCCAAGCTCCACTCGGCCATCTACCAGAACGTGCCGGCCAAGCCAGGCGCCTGCGGGGACAGCTCCGCTGCCCAGGGCTGGCTGGCCTTCATCGTGGAGTACATCCGCCGGTAGGCCCGCCTTCCTGCCTGCGGACACGCCGGCCTTCCTGGGACTGGCGGCCTGGCAGGCTGGCAGGAAGGAGGCAGAGTCCGAGAGGGAGCTTGAGCGGGAGCTAGTTAAGTGGGCAGGGGATAGCCTGGATTGGGCTGACTGGGCAGCTTCTGGGTCCATCTCCTCCCTCCCCTGTCCAGCAACATGCCAGGCCCCCTGCTTTACCTGCCTGATCTCAGCACCCCACAGCCAGCTCAGAGGGACCAGTGAGAGGAGAGGTGATGTCACCTCTGAGGACAGGAAGCTGGTGGTCCCAGGTGTCTGGCTCCAGACCTGTGTGCCTACCTCTGTCCACTCCACCCTTAGCCCCCCCAGCCCCCCGAGTCTGTGCTAGTCTGGCCTGGCAGCCCCCAGCCAGAACGTGCCCGACGACTGCAGGGACAGCCCTGCCGCCCGGGGTGGGCCTGCCTTCCCGCCTGCCGGACGCTCACCTTCCTGGACTCCACAGTTCCTTGTCTCCACAGGTTCGTGGTATCCTGTACCCCCAGCTGGTTTTGGGGGCCGGTCGTCACCCTGGAAGACTGCCTCACTGCCTTCTTCGCTGCTGATGAGCTGAAGGGTGAGTGGAGTGGCCTGGCGAGGGTGAGGTGTGGGGTTGACTGACCCCACTGACCTGTCTGCTGACAGGTCAAGGCTTTGGGAACTCACTGCAGACACGGCTTCAGAGCTGAACCCGTTGCCCCCTCTCGCCCGGCCTGTCCTCCGACCCACGCCTCCTCGCAGCTCTTCGGCGTTGCTTGTTTTTATTTTTTAGACGTCTGGTGAGCAAAAATGGCTTTGCGCTTTAATTTTGCATTTCCTCCATTATTCAAGCTTTTCAGCGTTTCCCCGCGAGTGCATCGGCTTTCTGTATTTCTCGGTGGGAGATTTCCCACTCCTGCCCTTTTGTATTTTCCTGTGTTGGGATCCCATAACCTTCAAAGCCTTTTCTCCGTGCTGGTGCGCGGACGCCGGCCTCTGCGCCCTGGCCGCGGGCTGCCTCAGGCCGCAGCAGGGCGCAGCCCGGGCACCCGCAGGGCGCAGCCTCGGCGCCGTGGGGCAGCGCCGCCCTGGGCCCGGGCGCTTGACCTCCTACGGGCGCCGTCACACGGCTCGCGGCCTCCTGTGTCCGGGGCGTTTCGCGTGGCCGATGTCCACAGCGCCCCTGCCGTTGTGCGGCCAGACCAGCGCGGGCCGTGGGCTTCTGCCTGGTGCTCGCGGGCGCGGCCGGCCCCCGCCCTGCTGCCCGTGCCTCTGGGTCTGCCCAGGGGCGGGCGCTGGTTCCGAGGGCCGTTCGTTCTGCCGCCTCCCCCCGTTTCTCCTTTTGATTCTGCGTCTGGTCCTGTCCGTAGGGCGTTTTAGAAGTGTCTCTGGAGTCAGGTGACACATCCCCACTTTGTGCGGGTCCGTGGCGGGGCCTTCCGTGGCGGGGCCTTCCCCTTGGCTTTGCTTCGTTCCCTTTCCCTCCTCCCAGCGCCGTTGCGCCGTGGAGCGTGGCCTTCAGCGGCGTGTCCCGTGGCGGGCCTGCGTGTCGTCGCAGACGGCCCCTCGCAGCAGAGCACCAGGGGCCCTGTGCGTTCTCCCCCAGAAGTGCCCTCACTCCTCGGGTTTGGCATCTCGTAGATCCCACACCGAGTGAGCTCAGTGTTTCCCCTCTCTGCCTGACGTCTGTCTGGCTCGTCAGCCCCCCAGGCTCATCCAGGGCCCCAAAGGCGGGACCTCCCTCTGTGGCTGTGCCCCCGTGATACGCGCCCGTCCTTCACCCTCGCGGACGCCGAGCTGCCCCTGTCCCCTGTCGGGGGCGGCGCCGTTAGGAGCTCGGGAGCGCGAGGGCCTCTCGGAGACATGACCCAGCCGTGGGCGGGTCGAGTGTCTGCAGCGTGCTCAGGCCCGGTGCTGCTCCCGTCCTGGCTGTCCTGACCCACGCAGTGCGCAGGCGCCATCGCCACAGGGGGCGGGCGCCGGCCCGGCCTGGCTCTCGGCTTCTGGCCATGGCGGTGTGGCGGGGCACCTCCCTGCTGAGCCTCTGACCGTCTTTTCTATCTTTCCTAGAACCTGTCGTCTCCTTTGAAAAAATGTCTCCAGGTCTTCTCACTGCTTGTTGTTTTATTTTTTTCCCTTTTTGCCATTGAGCTGTGTGATTCCCTTCTAGGTTTTGCATATTAGCCTCTGATAAGGCTTGCAAATAGTTTGTCCAGTTTCATAGCTTGCCTCACCCTGCATTTTGTTGATTATTTCTTTCGCCACTGGGTTTTATGGGTGACCATTTGTTTATTTTTGCTTAAGTTGTTTGCACTGCTGGTATCATGGCCGAAAACTCATCAGGGAGGCTGCTGTCAAGGGGCTTTCCTCTGTCTTCTTCTCGCACTCTCAGTTTCAGGTCTTCCATTTAAGTTTTAATCCGTGTCAAGTTCATTTTTGTTTTCCTTTTATCCCATTCTGAGCAGCTCAGTAGAATGCTGAACACTAACTCTGAGTCCTTGTAAAAGTACAAGTTCTGCCTGCAGTTCAGTTCTTCCTTTAGAGTATCTGTCACGGGCCCTCCCTGGTGGCACAAAGGGTGAGGACGCAGCCCTGCACGCTGGCCACAGCCGTGCGTTGCGTCAGCAACAGCCAGGGCGCAGCAGCCCTCTCCTGACCCGCCCGCCGCTCCCGCAGCACTGTTCGTCAGTCTGTCTGTTCTGCTCCCCACTCTGCCTCTGGTGAAGCTTCTTACCATCCTGTGCCTCTGGCCTGTACCCCAGTTCTGTGTGCATAAGATTCAGTTTTAAAAAAAAAAAGTATCTGTCACTTGGTAGATTTCCTAAAATGAAACCACCAGAACAGTGGGTGCAGTGTGCCGACCAGAAGGAGAGAGAACTTGGGCTGCAAGGTGAGGACTTACGTGTTGCAAGGGTGTTGCTAACGTCGCCGAAGTCGCTGAAGCGCTGGGCACATTGTTCCTGTGAGTCTAGCCCTGGTAGGCCCCAGACGCCTTCCTGTCCAGTGAGCGAAGGGAGCCGTGCTCCCAGCCCTGTCAGCACCTAGATGAGAGGAGTCCAGGGCTCCGCGCGGTGGCCAGGGTGGAGGAGGTGGGGGCGGCGGCCCACACGGGTCTGCTGTTGCCCCAAAGCCACCTTCAGCTCCTCTCGCCGGCGGCTTACAGCGTTCGGCGTACGGTCTTCTACCTGCGAAGTAGTTTGCGGTTTGATGCGGTTGTGCTCTGTACTTCTTTCTGTGCTGCTTGTACTTGATTTAAATACTTGCGTGCTCCGGCGTTGGGTTGATTCTTGTTTCCGGTGCGTCCTGTACCTTAATCGACTCCACCATGCCGGAGTGGCCGTCTTTGGCGCCTGGGGCCGTCGTGACGGCGGTGTGTTTGGTCGGCCCGGGGGTCGCCCTCTTGCTGTCTTGCTGGCCGCTCGCCCGCGCTCTCTGTCCACCCCCTGACGTCCACCTGTGTGTCCTTAAAGCTGAAGTGCGTTTCACTGCTTGGGTTTGAGTCGCCACGATTCTCCCTCCCTCTCCCCATCCCTGCTGGCCGTTGTCCCTTATGTCTTTATTTCTGGCTGTAGGTGACAACATGTACAGCTGTGAGCGGTGTAAGAAGTAAGTGCGCCCCGAGGGCCCCTCCACTTGCCGTCTCTCTGCTCCGCGCCGCGAGAAGGGGAGGGCGCGGACAGCTTACTTCCAGGCCGGCGAGAGCCGCCTCGATCTGGGGAAGGAGCCGGCCTGATTCAGGAGACTCGGGGCCCAGATGTAATAGCCGCAGACACACCGGGCGGGTCATTACCAAACGGCTGCGGACAGGTGACGGGAGGATCGCTGAGAGCAAGCGGAGCGGGGGCGGCCTCGAAGGAAGCACCCCGGGCCGTGCGCTTCCCAGCGGGAACCACACAAGCAAGAAGGGGTGGCAGGAGATGTGTGACGTTCTCCAGTAACAAGACTTCCCAGCCAGATTGTCATTCAAGGCAGACGGGGAGGTGGGAGCGTCACAGGAAATTAAAACCAAACAGAATGAGCAAAAGATGCAGCCGCATGGAGGTGACGCGGGTGGGGGCGCCTCGCCCGCCGCCCCCCACGGGTGCTCACCGCCGCGCTCTCTCCTGCCAGGCTGCGCAACGGGGTCAAGTACTGCAAGGTCCTGCAGCTGCCCGAGGTGAGTGGGGGCCGCCTGCCGTCCGCCCGCAGGTCTTGTCCACCCGGCCAAGTGGTGGCGCTGGGCGTGACCGAGCCGCCCTGCCGGCCGTCGCGCTGACCAGGCCACGGCGGTGCCTCACGGCCTTGGGTGAGAGACCCGGCTGGGCCCAGGTGGGGGAGAGCACGGGGCTCTGTGTGCACTTAGCCCCACTGCAGGCCCTCAACCCCTTTGTCTCAGCAGAGGAGGGGCGCCCTGGGGGGCGCCTGGAGCGAGCCAGCTTGGGGGAGAGCTGTGGGGGGCCTTTCTGAGGAAGGGGCCTCGCTTCATGGAGGAAGAGTGAGGTGGAAACAGGTGGGCAAAGCCCCGAAGTGGGAACAGATTTGGCTGAACCGGCGCTGTGGCTGGCGCCCAGAGGGGCACGGTCAGGCCCCTGGCGTGGCGCTGGCAGGCCTGGGAAGGCTTCCGGGAGTTGGTGCTGACGGAAGTGGTTGTCAGGGTCCTCGGGATGCGAGTCTGCGGGCCCGTGACTGCTCGCTGTCCAGACCAGCCGGGCGCGCAGGGCCCCGGCCCAGCCACGCATCCTGTTCGTGCGGCGGGGCTGGCCGTCGCCCCTGCCTGTGTCGTGGGGGTCAGGCCGCCCGGCTCAGCGCGTGCACACCCTCACCCGTGCTCCGGTGCAGTTGGCGAGTGGCGCCCAGCAGCTGGCCTGGGCTGTAGCCAGCCGCAATGGCAAGGCCTGAGTGGGTCAGGAGGCAGACTGGTGGGTGTCCTGGAGCCCTGTCTCGGTGTACCTGGCCGCGTGCCTGGCAGACCTGGCCAGCCCTGGGGTCACTGATGCCTCCCCCTCCCCTCAGATCCTGTGCATTCACCTGAAGCGCTTTCGGCACGAGGTGATGTACTCATTCAAGGTCAGCAGCCACGTCTCGTTCCCTCTGGAGGGGCTCGACCTGCGCCCCTTTCTCGCCAAGGAGTGCACGTCCCAGATCACCACGTATGACCTGCTCTCGGTCATCTGCCACCACGGCACGGCAGGCAGTGAGTGCAGCCCCCAGCCCCCGTCCCCGCGCCCCAGGGTGCCTGTGACCACCGTCTCCCCTCCGCAGGTGGCCACTACATCGCCTACTGCCAGAACGTCATCAACGGGCAGTGGTATGAGTTCGATGACCAATATGTCACCGAGGTCCATGAGACGGTGGTGCAGAACGCCGAGGCCTACGTCCTCTTCTACAGGTGTGGCCCGGCGGCCGGTGGGCGGGCAGCCGAGGGACAGTGGCTGGGCACTGCCACAGGCCGGTGCCCTGCCCCTGCCGCTCGGGCTTGGCGCTGAGCGCAGGTGTCTGCGGACGGTGGGGGAGGCGAGGGAGGTGGCCCCCCGAGGGCTCGGCGGGGAAGGGTGAGGTCGGAGTCGTTAGCCAGGCTGGCTGCTGGCTGCCGAGGGGAAAGCCGGAGGTCTGGACGTCGGGCCAGCCTTTCCGGGAGGGCCTGCGGGCGGAGTGGAGGCCGGGACTCAGGCTGCCGAGGCGCGGCAGGCCGCCGGGGGTTTTGGCTCTGGACGCTCCGCCTGGGTGCGGGACACGGCCTCTGCCCCCAGGAAGAGCAGCGAGGAGGCCGTGCGCGAGCGGCAGCAGGTGGTGTCGCTGGCCGCCATGCGGGAGCCCGGCCTGCTGCGCTTCTACGTGTCCCGGGAGTGGCTCAACAAGTTCAACACCTTCGCCGAGCCCGGGCCCATCACCAACCACACCTTCCTCTGCGCCCACGGAGGTGAGGGCGCCTTCCGGGGGTGCGGGCGGGCGGGCCGGCCGAGCCCGCAGCTCTCCTCCCCGCTCCCTCCGCAGGCATCCCGCCCAACAAATACCACTACATCGACGACCTGGTGGTG